TTTTTTTTTTTTTTTTTTTTTTTTTGGTACCAGGGATTGAACTCAGGTCCTTGAGCTTGCAAGGCAGGCCACCGAACCGCTGAGCTAAATCACCGGCCCCAGATGTCTTTTGTTTCTGACTTCTCTTTCCACCCCATTTATCTATCAGTGCGTCCTGTCAGTACTATTTCCACAGTACCCCTTGTCTTTCTGTTTCTCTCTCTTTCTCTTTCAACCTTTACCACCTGTTTGTTTCTCGCCTGGGTTGCTGCTTCAACAGCTTCCAGACTAGTCTCTCTTGAATTTCTACAACCACTTCTCTACCCAAGAGCTAGTGAATTCTTAAAAATGTAAATTTGCTCCTGTCATTTTCCTAAAATCCTGTGGGTCTCCCAGTTGTGTGTTTTGCCAGACTGTCATTTATCTACTCACATCTTTTCAGTGGTGTTTGCACTAGAATGGAAAATTCTTGAGGTGCTTTTTACTACTTAACTGTCTAGCCTATAGTAGTTGCACATAAAGACTTTGTAAGTGAATAAGTATATTTTGTTTCTTTTAATTTCTATTTTTCCTCCCTTACCCCGCTTCAGGATGAGCTTTGGAGGGTCCAGGAGAAGCTAGAATGTTACTTTGGCTCCTTGGTTGGGTCAAATGTGTACATAACCCCTGCAGGATCTCAGGGCCTACCTCCCCATTATGATGATGTCGAGGTAAGAAAGAAAACACATTGCTCCTGTGTAGAAAAGAGGAGTTTGCTATGAGTCTGGGTTCATATATTTTACGCTACTCTGTAGGGCTCTTAGACCAGGTGTGTGGCTGCTCTTTCTGTGTGCTATCTGGAGAGCCTGACCTCATCTAAATGTTGGGTCTAAATAGATTTCTCCAAACTGGTTTCCTGCTCTTTCTCAAAGAGAGGGATTATTACCAACCTTAACTAATAGAAAGAGCCATGCATTCTTTTGAAGCAGGTATTTATTGAATTTAGCTATAGAAAAGCTTTTTCTTTAATTTCACAGAGTAAGGTGAGAACACAGATCTTTACATCTTTCATTTTGCTCTTTTTCAGTAGCTGCCAAAAGTGTATATATTTTTTCCGTTTATGAAAATCATGGGGCAGTCTGAATGAGGGTCACAGTTTCATTTAAATACTGGTACCTTGACATGAGTTGATTTCACTCCTGTGGCTTCCAAAAAAAAGTTAACTCTTTGGCTTAGGTATTTTATAGTTTTATTTTTGTGCTAATACAGTACAATGTCTGAACACAGAGATATTAGTAGAAAGTCCTTTTTTAAAAAATATCTCTGAGAGCAATTTGATATCAGCACATTTTCCAGGTATTTTTAAAGAGCATCTTCTTAATAGAGCATTAAAACATCTTTGGCTGAAAAAAGAATTAAAAACTATTAAGTTTGCCTATCTGCCAATGCTTTTTCAATTTTGGGGATTTTTAGACATTCAGCAATACTGAAACTTAACTTTCTCACCAGAGATTATAGGCTTTCAGCTGTCTGACAGAAGATTTAAAGGAATGAGATAGGATATAAAGAACTTGGCTATGATCTAACAAAATGAAAAGGATGAATATCTACTATCAGGATTCATGATTATCTGTTTTTAAAAATAAAAACCAGTAGTGGCGACTTGTTTTTGTTTATAGTGACATACATTTTTGATCTTTCACTTTTATCTGAAACTTGTGATTAGTCTAACCCCGTGAAGAGTTTATATCCTGGAAGCATTTGCCTGTGAATTATCAAGAAGCTCCCTGACACCCCTGGTCTGTGGCTCTTTGTAGGTTTTCATCCTGCAGCTGGAGGGAGAGAAGCACTGGCGGCTCTACCCGCCCACAGTGGCACTGGCGCGCGAGTACAGTGTGGAGTCTGAGGCCCGGCTTGGTGCGCCGACACATGAGTTCATATTGAAGGTACAGGATGACCAAGTGGGCGCCTCCTGAGCTCATTGTTACTGTTGCTAAGGCTTGAAGTTCTGAGTTTGTATACTGGTTCCATGGGCATATATCATGGGGATTCAGGCATGGTGGCTTTCCTTGCAAGCAGCCAATACAGGTGGTTTCTGGAGTATTGTGGATTGTACTTGGAGAAATGAACTAAAGAAGTATTAAGATAACCTGTCACCCTGCATGATCCATTTTAACAGAAATAAATTGATTTGAGTGTAGTACCAGCTTCTCCAGAGTAAAAGTGGAAGAGTTGGCCTTGTGCAGTTTCTCCACATCTAAGGTGGCAGTGAGTAGTACAGGCAAGAGTCACTCTTTTTTTTGCTGCAAAAATTCATTATGAGCCATTTTCTTCCTAACTGTACAAAAGACTGTCCTTTGTAAACTTTTTCCTTCCCCTCACTAGTTGTTAGGAGTATAGTAATTATTAAAGTTCTTGAGGAGTCCTCCTCCAGAGAGCCAGGTACCTTGACTGTGTACTGGTTAGCATCTTGTTGCTAAGAAAATCCATCTTTGAGCGGTTAGACTGGATGGGAACATAGCTAATTCCCAATAGGAGAGTTTGCTGAGAAGAAAAAAACGTTAGAGGGATAGGAATAGCTTCATAATTAAACTTTATTCTATTTCTTAGAAAACTTAATTTCCTTCAGTGGGAATAAAATAATGGTTATATATGTGAAGGACTCTCGTGGACTGACAGATACTCAGTGAATATTAAAATTATCAGTAAAACTTTATTTACCTGATATATTATCAGTGTGGTGTCATTTACAGAAAAATTAGCAATCAGAGTCCTCTTACGAGTATATAAAAATATGTATTGTCTCTCACATTGAGGAAAAGCTTTAAAAGCCATTCTTAGGAGACATTTCTTAAGCCTTGTCTGCATGGCTCCTGATCTTAGCTATTGAGCTTAGACTGCTTCACGTATTTGCAGGGTGGAAATGAGTTGCTCTCAAGATTCCTTCTCTTGTTAGGCAGTTACTATTCAGGATGTTTTGATCTGGTTTGGATTTGGAAGAAATTTTTTCTTTTTTTTTTTTTTTTTTTTTTTTTT